GGTTGTTGAGACCTGTGATTTTGTGAAATAACTAAGGTGTCAAAATGACTTGCACAAACCACACAGCTTCCTGGAACTAGAGCTGACCTAAAACCCAGGTGTCTCGACTCCGGGCACAGAGCTTTCTCCTCCTGATCTCCTTCACTACTCTCACTGCAGGAAATTTTGATGCTTGATCACGGGAACTAAATACATAGAAAGATAGATAAATCTAAAATGTGTGATGTTTGATAGATTAAGAATAACCATATTTGTTAAAGTTTTCATGATGTAAGTTTCCAGGTATATCAGATTCAGATTGGTACTGTAACAAATGATTGCCACTGACCAGTGGCCCAAAGTAGCGCGTCCTTTATCTTCTGGTCGTGGAGACTGGGATCCTACATGGTCTTCAGAAACGAAAATCAGGGTGTTGACAGAGCTGCCTTCCTCCTGGAGGCTTGACTGGAGAATCCTTTTCCTCCCATTTCCAGCTCCTGGAGGCTGGCTGTATCCCTTGGCCCGTGATTCCTTCCATGGTCTTCAGGGCTAGCCGAATAGCATCACCCCATCCCTTTCTCTGTCCTCTGCTTCCATTGTTACATCTCTTCCTCCGACTCTGACTCTGTAACTTCCTGCTTTTAAGGAATTTGTGATTACGCTGAGACCACCTGGATGATCTAGGACAATCCATCTCAAAATTTTGATTTAGTCTCATCTTGCAAAACTCCTCTTGCCATATAATTAATTTATTCACAGCTTCCAGGGATTGCAGTGTAGACGTTTGGGGAGGTAGTGGAGATATTATTCAGCCCCCCATATCAGGTCTGTAATCAGTGATTTAAATAATTTTCTGAAATAATACTTACTAAGTGCAGTTTTTAGATCATTGAATCTTTACAGTTACTCTGAAAATTAATGTATGAGAACTGTTTATATTGCCGTTGAGAAGCTGAATTTCAGTGCTGTCTTTCATCTGGCCTCAGATGACTTGTGATAAGGACTCAAGACAACATAAAAACAAAGCAGACTGTGTGAGCACGATTTATTTGGTGCCCACAAAGATAACGAGAGTAACACTTTCCATCCGTCTGGTTTTTGTTCTCCAAGGGCTGAAGTCAGGTTTCGCCAAGAATATATTCTGATCCCTGAGAACCGAGAAATGAGTCAGGTTTGCATAGACCAGAGCCAAAGCTCCGTCCAGCTGTGGGGTTGTAGGCAGTCTCTTATTAGACATATTCCTGTTTATTTTTTTATCCTTTTTTACTTTTCTTACCTTTTCTTAGCCTTTGAAGCTGTATTTACATAAGAAACTGATAGTTCCATCAAAAACAGGCAGCAATCTGATGTGTGATTAAGATGGTAAAAAAGCAAAAGGCAGAAAGCTTGACTTTTCCTTATGTTGCTTACATAGCCACATATTACTAGTCTCCGGGCTCTCAAGGTCACTAAAGATCAAGCAGGTGTTTATTAATTAATTAACTGAGCACCCATATTCCATCACATTACTGGTTTATTTATGCCACTATTACCGTTATCCCTACCCTTCTCCCTCCCCCCCCCCCCCCCCCCCCACACACACACCTGGGCCCTGTGCACATACTTGTACTGTGAGATATTACAAGTTTGAGTTTTCTTAGTATGTACCTAGATTTTGTCAGTCTGGGCTTATAGACCACACAACTGCAACTTTTGATATGTTCTAAATATTAGCCCTGAGGAAACACTGCGCAAAGTGACAGTTGTGGGCAGCTCTGGTACCCAGCTTTCATGAAGAAGGCAACGTTAGGGGTGTTGCTGATGAGCAGTAGATATTACTTCTCTGGAGAGAATAGGACAAAGAGAGGAGCAGAATTAGCATTTAGACTGTGTCACTGAGAAGGATTTTCAAGTATTCTACTTATAAGCAAATATTACATTTTCAGATGCTTAAGACCAATAACATATGGCCTATACAAACTTGTATTAGATACCTCCTTCATTAGCCCAGCTCCAATTCTGTTTTCTGTGTTGTAGGATTTGAACCAGACATGAACGATTTTTCTTCTCGTAAGGCCTTGCCCTTTTGGGATTCTGCTGAGAGCACAAGGAACCAACAATAATTTACTATATGCCATAATCATCCTGTTTTGTTTTTAGAAAACTCCCTACAACCTGACAACACACATTTATTATGGTTGATTCTAGGCATTTAAATATGAAAACAATTAACGTGCATTCGTAGGCAATATGACAAATGGGAATTTGTGAGCAGACCAATTTTTCACTGACCTGCATTCAAGAACACTATTATAACTCAGGTTTGCCTCCCAAGTTTTTAAATGAGTTGATTTCCCAGTATTTATGTGGGCAGGTTGATGGATGAGAATGACTTTAGTGTAAACTAGGGAGTCCCCTTCTATGTCCCCTCCTCCAGGTTGCACTTTTGTGCTGATTCAGAGAGCGCTCTGTGCATTCAACCATCCAGCTAATATACGGAGACAAGAAAGCGATAACTTTTGGTCATTACATGAGTTGTAGAGAAAGAATCAAGGGGTGTGGGTGAATAAACTTCTACTATGGGAATAGCCCGCTGGGTATAATTTTCTACTGTGTCCAAATGATCAAACTTTGCATTGTGAATAGTACATTCACATCTCACACCTATCTTTTCTCCACACTCCACCTCACCCCTCTTGTCAATGCAGAATATTATCTCCATTTGATGAATGAGGAAACTGAGTCATAGGATGTTAAATGAATTGTCCCAAGTTCATATTGCCTAATTTAGTCCTCTGTGCACATAGGATGGATCCATCACGGGTGAATTATGTATCTGTTTTTAAAAGCATTGGACATTGTGAAATAACCTATCTCAAAATCCTTTCTCTAAATGAAAGAAATTTTCCTTGAGTTTGGGCAGCATCAAAGACATCGGAGATAGAAATTAACACCTTGGCAATTCAAATCATGTTGCAAGCCCCTCCCCCCCAAAGACAACTCCTTTCCACTCTGTAAGACAGATCATAAGCCACGCAGCTTTGGAGAGGTGGGTTAATTCAGGTGTAATTTTGCTCACTGCGATTTCTGATTTCTGGGGTGATTATAAGCCAAATGTCAGTCACCATGGTTCTCAAGATACTTGTAATAAAGATTCAAGTGGGAAAAAAAATGTATTTAGCATTCACAAAGAGGACAAATGGTTAAAACAGAATTTTTGAGTGTCTGAAGATTCAAGGATGAAAAAGAAAGAACAGTGATAAAAAGGGCAGGATGGCTTGGTCGCAGGAGGTTTAGACAGCCTGCAGGTTTCTCAGCGGCGAGCTGCCACTTTGTCCTCCAGATTGCTTGGAGGCCAAACTGTGAAAAAGCAGAAAATATTTGGAGAATTCTGGGCTTAAATTAAAAGAAGGGGAGATCAAACTGGGGAAATGTCCAGTATGCAGGCTAAAATAGAAGCATCCCACTTGAAAGAGCTTTTCTGTAAAACTGTGTACCCCAAGTAAAGTTTGTAGTGAAGAAATATTTGGGCTTTTTTGCGGGGGAGGCTGTAGTTCAAGGGAAACTCGAGATGCAATTTACAAAGAGAGGAGGCAAGTTCTCAAGCTTAATTATGCATCAGGAAACTACCCTGTAGTTTTCTTTCCTCTCCCACAGAAGGGAATAGAACTGAACTAGCAAGAGAGGGTAGCAGTCCTCTGGCTTTGAGATTAAAAACAACCAAAAAGGGATACATCAATGCTTGACAAAAGCCCTTGACAAAATAAGTCCCTGGAGGTTATTATATAACATAAGTTACCTTCTGTCTGTACAGCTTGTACCTTGAGTTTCCCTTGAAATGCAGCAGAAAAATGTCTGCTTTGTTTACCTGGGTTAACAATGCAGAGGAAAGAGGACAGGACAGTAGGGTTCAGATCCTGAACTGGGACTCCAGGTGGATTCTTCATCTGTACGATGAGGATGGGTAGGTGATTTCAAGGCTTTCTTCAGTTTGAGCACCGGCTGCTGAAGCCACAGAGAATTGGGAGAGTCCAGGTTATAAATGCCAACGGCTTAGTTTTTCAAGGAGACCTCCTTCTCCTCCGTTCCCTATGGGCCGGCAGTTAAAGGAAGCGGTAACAGGACCAGAATCGAAGGGTGTGTGTCCGGGTCGGGAGCTGATGTTGCACGTGCAGACCCGTCTCAGAGGTTTCCTGTGATGTGGTTCACTACTTGGAAGTGCTTTGAACGTCAAGGAGGAAGATGTCCTGAGGCATCACTGCGGTTCATAATCTCCAGCTGAAGGTTCTCACCCCTCAGAAGTTCAGGGTGAAGCCAGGAATGGGAAATAATTACTGCCCCTCATTTACACTGAGACGGGGCTGAAGGTCTGGCTGCAGCCAATGAAACGCTCTTTGATACTGATTCATTAGTAGCGATGCTGTCTCCCGGCAGCCCTGTGCCAACGTCACAGTTTGGCAGCCTCCTCAGTTCAGTTGCACGGTTTTCCTTTGGGCACATCTCCTAGGCCTTCTTCACTCATCTGTTTGCTGGACCCATTTAATTGCAAATTAACAACGTGTCTCCCTCAACTACCCTTCCCTAAATCCGGTTTTCCTTCTGTGTGTGTGTGTGTGTGTGTATGCATGGGTGTGTGCTAAAGAATGTGCTTACGGCAAAATTATCCCAGCAAGAAGGCTTTCTGATTTTTATTTTTTTTTTCTTCTTTTTTCTTTTTTTTTTTTTTTTGCCAGCTACAACTGGTAACCAACTTTTGTTTTTACCCATTTAAAAAGTATTTATTTGCAAGCTCTCAGTGGCAGTTTAAATGCGACCTGCAATTAAGAAAAATACAAACTGACCCTTGTGGTGTTTTCCGTTGACCTGTATCCCGCCAGAGGCTGATATTGTATAGATAAGGAAAAGAAATTTTATGTTACTAACACAAGGAAATCTGGTTTGTGCATGTAGGACAGAGTGAATGAGGGGGGGTGATGCTGGCTTCGTTCTCTTCCTGGTTCAGCTGTCATTCTGATACAAATATGAGCACCGCTCCCACCTACCTCTCGATCGGGTTCTGTTTCCTTTAAAATGAATGACTTTGAACAAAACCGTCTCAGTCTCTTTCAGTCTCCAGCGTTGTCCCTCTTTATTCATTTTGTTCTTTCCTCCTGAATGCCTGCAAAAAGCATTGGAGGTCCAAAGCACATGCCTTTTCTCCCACAAGACATGACCCCACCCCACAGTATTCCCAGAGTGTGTTCTCCTTTTGACATCTTCCCCTCCCTCCCACTAATCTTACTCATCTTCAAGGGCCACTTCAAATCATATCCTTGATGAAGATTTCCTAACAAAATCTGTTTTCTCTTTCCTCCAAATTCTTCAAGTGCACTGCATACCCCTACGATGTATTTACCTGATAGCATCACTCTTTGTGCAGATTTCTTAGTCCCTTTACTAGAATGCATTCGCCTCACATTTGGTGCCTGTTACTGGCACAGCCTCCTGGTAGGCTAGAATAGTGTCTTGCTTGTTTTATGCATTAGCAACCTTGTTTAAATTAGCACGAGCATTTTTCTCCGTATGAATTCTCTAAGAGTCAATTGCACTACAGTGAAAGATGTTGAAGCAAGAGACCTTTAACACAAACCTTTAAAACAATTAGGATAATAAAGGATAAGTTGAATTTTAATGGTGAAAATAACTGTAAACTCTGCCAGAACTTGGTAAGGTTTAAAGTGATGTGGGGCTCGATTTCATGAATGAGATAATGACCTGAGCCAAAATCACGAGTCTGTCACTCAACTGACTGAGCCACCCAGGCGCCCCACCACAGACCCTTTTTGAGCGTAAGTGAGTGTATGTTGGAAGAGGGGCCTACCTAGGAATGGTCCACAGAGGCCTGAATCTAGAAATCTCACCTTATGGGGAATTTGGAGTTTTAAAGGATCTCCCTGTTCCCCTAGGTGATTTCTCTTGCCCCTTTCTTTACCACTCTGAGCATGAGGCAAGGTCTAAAACATTTCATTTTCTTCGTTCCCTTCTTACAGATGTTGAAAATCATATAAAACTGTAATTTGAGGACAAGTATCATAAAAACAAAGGCAACTGAAATTGGTTCTCTCATTGTGTGGCCACTCATGAAACTTACAAGGTTTGCTTTGCAAAAAGAAGAAAATCAGAGAACTCAGTGTTACTCTACTGTGTCCTACAGGGCACGGCCCTACGATATTCTGTAACTGTAACAAGTGCATTCATGTTTGTTCCCGTTATTTTGTATCTTTATTTTATCCACGTAACTAGATTGTATACCTCTTTAGGTTTGTTCCCATTGTATTTAACCTTAACTCTAGGTGTTTAAGTGACTTAATAGATAAGACTCATCAGAGTCGCTCTTTTTCATATTCAGACCGTACGCATTTCTCTAGCATTGCCAACCAGAAGTAACTAATAAAGTGGTTACCTAGCCTTCTAAACGAGCTTATTTACGGGTTGGTACGAAATACTAGACTCTGGGGGGAAAAAAGGCAACGAAGGAGTAGTGAGCAAGGCAGGAAAAAGAAAGGATTGTATAAGTTATCTGAGAAAGAAGCTGCCATTTAAAGAGGGGATAGTGAATGGGATCATTTCCAAAAGAATGAAATTGTTGGACTTCACTGAAGGAATAATTTGGTCACTCTTGAGAATGCAGAATAGTAGGAGACAGTAGGGACAGAAGCCAGATTTCTGCTTCTTGAGGTAATTGCAAAGGGGTGCATGTGGAAAGCACAATGGGAGCAGATACGTTAAGCTTTTTAAAGAAGTTTGTCAACGGTTCAAGAACAACCATAGGCATGGAGTTGTGTTATCGAAGAGGCCTTTATGTCCAAGGCACAAGCAGCCTATGTTGAAAATAAGAGGGAGCCGAGAAAGTGCAGAGATCCAGGGAGAGGTGGGAGAAATCGAGGGGGGGTAGGGACGGTGTGCAGGTGGCAGGGGACACCCCTGAGGAAGCTGGAGGGTAGAATCCAGAGTAGAGGGGGGAGGTTTCTCAGAGGAGAATGTTTAGCCCTACTTTCCAAAACAGAAACAAAGATCACAATGCGAGGTGTGGAGTTAGGTGTTAGGGTGAGACACTTACGGAGGAAGGCACTCATCGCAAGTGGCATGAATCTATACCAGTAAGAGTAACTTCTGAGTAAATAATCAGACCATGGCAAGGACTGATTGTCGAGGGTTCCTCAGGTCCGATTTCCTCTCTGGAATCCCCCAGGGGAACAGTGGACAGGGCACATTGGGGCCAGTGACCATGGCACTGGTGGCCTAGGGCAGCAGCTCCGAAGTCACCATTGGTTGTAACTTGGACCACAAGTAATCTGTAACTGAATGTAAGTACTAGTGATTTTGATTGAGTTTTAAGAATTCATTGAAGCAGGTTCAAGGTCACTCTTAAAATATTGTCCCTTACTGGTGATTCAGTGTGTTTCCTTGGGTTGACAGGGTAGCTGTGGATGAGGTCCAGGGTTATGGGGCCTGTGCATACTCACACCGTCACCTCGTGCTGCCTCGTGCTGTGTGCAGGGCTCTTACTGGTTTACCATGAATTCCTATGGCACTCATAGGAACTCCTACGTTAGTTGCAGTGGCGTAGGTGGAATTTTACAGTTCGCTATGTTTCCTGTTTAGCATTACCCATGAATATATTTTTTAACGAAGAAGGTAGGAATAGAAGAAGAAAATGCAGGGGGACGGGGCGGCTCAGTTGATTAAGCGTCTGACTCTTGATTTCAGCTCAGGTCGTGATCTCACGGTTTGTGGGCTCGAGCCCTATGTCAGACTCAGCACTGACAGCACAGACCCCTCTTGGGGTTCTGGCTCTCTCCTCTCTTTCTGCCCCTCCTCCACTCACGTGTGCACACTCTTTCTCTCGCTCAAAATAAAAAAAAATAAACCTTTAAAAAAAGAAGAAGAAGATGCTACCAGTGTCTCAGTGACTTTATTGTACTTGACCTAAACAACCTGAAGACTGTGTGGATGGGTGGGGTCAATGCTGTCATGCCCGTCAATAGAGCCAAACAAACTGAAGACAAGTTTGTTACCTAGAGGTCAACTGATATATTGTACCAACTCCATTTCACATTAAGAAAATGCCGCTCTCCATTCGGTCTCTTTCACAGTCCCCTTCTGTCTATCAGCTGTCCCTAACTGATCTGATCGCCACCTAGAGCTTTAAATACGTCCAAATGCCCTTGCTTCTCCAATGTGTATCTCCACCCCGACCTTTAATGACTTGCCCTTGCGTTTAGAATAAACGCCTCGCTCTTGTCCTGGCTGCAAGTCCTGCTCTGAGAGCTGGCCTGGTTCCTGCCCTTGTGGTTCTTGTCTTAGGTTCTTCGTACTTGCTTTTCCTCTTCCTGGAATACTGTTCCCCGTACCTTTCAGTGGACCTCCCACATTGCAGAATTCAGGTGTCTGCCTGGGCGTTACTCCTTCATGGAGAGTGTTCTCTAATGAGCAGGTCGAAAGGATGTGCATCCCTGCCCGCCCTGACAAAGCACACCAGCACTCACCCTGTTTTCTTGTCTTCAGTGCAGCCATCCTGTTTGATATCCTCTCATTAAATTATTGCTGTCTGTCTTCTCCTCAAAGGTTGACCTTCACGAGAGCAGGGGCTATCGCCTGTCTAGCTCTCTACTATACCTTGAACACTGAGCGTGGTCCCTGCGCAGAGGAAGCCCTGAGCAGATACGTGCAGAATATAAAGATGCTGTGGGGTTGGGTCAGATGGCAAGTGCTAACATGAAATCAAAAAAGAAGGATTAGCCCAAGGCTTGGCCTCCTGTTCCAACTGCATCATTATCTGGAGGTTCAGCTGGGGTGACTTCTCCCAGGAGGAGTTAGGAACAGTGGACACAGCGGCCGAGCAGGAGGTCGGCATGGAGCTGGCCGCAGTGGTGTGGCCAGAGGACTGTGTCAGACCGAAGACATTGTTTAGAGAAAGACAGGAAGGAAGGAAGTCAGGAACAACAAGGCCAGCATGGAATTAGAGCCCCTACAACTGCACACCCAGACTTTACCCCACTTTCAGCCTCTCCCAGGAATGACCTTTAACCAGTCAATCTGGAATTTCCGGATCAGCTCTAGTGAGGTAATCCGCAAGATAGACCCCCACCCTTCCCCCAAAGGGAGGGAACCTTGCCTGAAACAATCCACTCTTTGTTAGAAACTTCCTTTTCCGCCCCCTTCTGCCTCTAAAAGCCTTCATTGGCTCAGCTCCTCCAGCTCCTTTCTACTTGCTGAGTGGGATGCTGCTGGATTCCTGAATCCTTGAATAAAGTCAATTAGATCCTTAAACGTCCACAGTTGAATTTGTTTTTTTTTTAACCACATAGAGGATGAAGTAAAGGCCATTTTGAGGAGGGATTCAAAGATTATACCTGAGGTGATTCTAAAATGACACTTTTTGGGGCGCCTGGGTGGTTCAGTCGGTTGAGCATCCGACTTTGGCTCAGGTCATGATCTCGCGGTTCGTGGGTTCGAGCCCCGCGTCGGGCTCTGTGCTGACAGCTCAGAGCCTGGAGCCTGCCTTGGATTCTGTGTCTCCCTCCCTCTCTGCCCCTCCCCACTCGTGCTCTGTCTCCCTCTCTCAGAAATAAACAAACATTTTTTAAAAATTTAAAAAAGGGGCGCCTGGGTGGCTCAGTCAGTTAGGCGTCCGACTTCGGCTCAGGTCATGATCTCGCACTCCGTGAGTTCGAGCCCCACATCAGGCTCTGTGCTAACAGCTCAGAGCCTGGAGCCTGTTTCAGATTCTGTGTGTCCCTCTCTCTGACCCTCCCCTGTTCATGCTCTGTCTCTCCCTGTCTCAAAAATAAATAAAACGTTAAAAAAAATTTAAAAAATAAATAAATAAATAAAATAAAAAGTAAAAAAGAAATAAAAAGACACTTTGTGCTAAGGAAGCTCTCCTTTCTGTCCTATTAAATAAGATATGCCTTGAGAGCTCCCTCAAAACAAAAATTTAAGGAACCCTGTCCATCACTGTGATCCAGTTCTGCCGTGTCCAAAATCCGGGAGTTTGCCATGTCTGTGGCTTCCACCGCTAGATGACAGGCTTTCAGTCCACAGCGAAAACCAAATCGTTTTTGGTTCCTTGTTGTGAATCACCCATGGTTCAAGGCCAGCGGCCTAGAATGGGCCAGTTATAGATGCCCTGAACTACACACTTCCATTTTCTGAATCCCACCTTATTTTCTGGGCTTCTACAGAGCAGCAATTGCCTTTTGAAGATTTATACCCCCACCTAGATGTGATCTTTCGTTTCCCAGAATCTTCAAAGCACTTTGCAAGTCTCTTTAAGGCACTCATAGCCTGGGATTGCAGTGTCGGTGTAATCTCCTTCGCCCCTTTCCCTCACTAGATCATAAATTCCTTAAAGGCAGAAACCGGGTCCTATCATTCTGGTACCCTCTAGTACACAGTCTACATTCCTTGGACATTAATCAGTGTAAAGCTTGGAAGGAAGAAGTGATGGGTTTGAGTAATCAGTTCTGCCACTTGCTAGGTATATGACCCTGTGGTTCACTTCTCTAAGCCTCCATTTTCTCATCAAACTGTAATAGTGATAGAGAAAATAACAATGTCCTAGAACTGTCGAAAGGATTAAATGAGATAGTGTACATCGAGTGCTTGGCACAGAGTATAATGAGTAATGGATACTATCATGGTGATGATTTTTATGGGGACCCAAAATATCAATATTAAGAGAACCCACGAGTGGCCAGTCGTAACTGATTCTGTGATTCTGATATCAATGACATTCTAAAATATTGACTGTTACAGAGCCAATAATATAGAATACCAAAAATTCAGCTGTGAATACAGGCCTGTATCCTTAATTAAGAAAAAAGTGAACAGTGGAAAATCACTTCTGAGTCTTATAAATAGGAAATTGGATTTCCTAATGGGTAATTTAAAATACTTTGGGAGCATAAATACACCTGGAGCACTCAAGCTCTAAGTTGGTGACTCAGAGAACAAGGGCACAGAATCCTGAAATAAGCAACAGCAAATGGCCACTTAAGCCCTTAAAGAGCAAGTTGCGGAAAATAAATTAATTCATTTAAATATGCATGAATCTCCTGAGTGGTGGAATATGCTGAAATGGTGCTGAATGATTTCCTTTGTTGTGTGTGTTCTGAAGGATTAATAATGCCTTGCACTTGGTGCCTCGAACCTTTGGTTAGACTCTTTTGCCTTTTTAAATTGTTTTTAAAGCAATTTAGATGATACAACCGGAAATTGCAGTCAAAGTACAGATTGGTCTCATTGATTTGGAGAAGTGGACAGCAGGTTGATCAAGGCATAGATGGATCCCTGAGGGAATGGAAAGGGATTCGGATTAAAACGTTAGAAAAGAGCTTTGGGGAGGCTGACATAATTTTGCAGAAACTTTGAGAAGTTTCAAACTTTTCAACCTTTCTCCTGAGATATGTGCCAGCATTTAATCAGCCTCTCTGATACTGTGTGGCACAGCAGTCTGGGTCCCAAGAATCCGCATATGCCATTGTAGACCGTAGTGTATATTTAGAATATTGATCAGAATTATCACTCCGTTATTTCCAGCACTTGTCAGATCCTTTCATTTTCATTATGGGAACCACAGACACAAAAATCCTGGTCCTTCATGTAAAGGAGAGGTGCGAGGAAGAGGGGGCAGAGACATCAAAAGCAGAAGCAAATGATCAGCTAAATGACTGTAATATTCTAGGTCATGTTCTGATTTGTGAAAGGAGGGGGCTTTAAGGAAATTACTGTTTGCCCTGCACACACTGGTTATTAGGGCAGGGCTTCATTTTTGATGCCAAGGCAGTGAAAGGGAGCTTGGCAGCAAAGTGGGGGCTGGAGCCCGGGACCCCTGAGCGATGGGGTGGATGAAGCCTAGGAAAGGATTTGGCAGCCTTGCCTGAAGAACAAAAATAATGAAAAGAATTGCCAAGAACCATAAAACCAGGAGAATAGGGATATGAAATACTTCAACGTGATTTTCCCAACATGGAGAAATATTAAATCTATTCTAAGTCTGTTATGATGTCCATATATTATTGTGAGTTTCTGTATTACAGTAATTTATATGTTGCCATAGGGCTATGAATAGGATCAAGTCAGATCAAGTTTTTGTTGTAGTTTATTTTTTTTGTAAGTTGGGAAAAACACTTACTTTTCCACACACTTACTTTTAAATAATTTGTAAGTTGTGTGTGTGTGTGTGTGTGTACGTACACATCCCTATTGTTGAATATTTCCTTTGATGCCAGAGGCTCGTCATTTATATGCTAATTTGTTCTCTTGGTAAGCTATGATATGTCACAATTACAAATAATCTTTGAAGAGAAATCTTTTGTAGCAACTATAAAATGAAACAGCACATTCGAGGAAGATGGTGTAGCCTCCACAAGAGTGTGCGATGATAGATCAGAAGGTACCGATGTAGTTCAGGTACACAGTAGAGGTGGTGGAGGTGAGAGATGCTGTTAGAAGTGTCGGTGGGGTCACATCCCAATGGGGCTCACAGACTGTGAGAGGAAGGTCAGATTTCTCTGTAGGCAGTGGGGAGAGATTTTAAACGGAGGAGGGAGGTGATCACTTTTGTGTTTAATGAAGATGACTCCGGAATCACTGTAGGAATCGGATTAGACAAAGATACAGTAAGTGTTTGTTTTTCTTTTTAAAAATCAGCCCAAATACGAAACTAGAACCTTATGTCATTTATCTGCATAAGCACTTAAAGAAGCATTTCTCACTTATTCCAAAGGGGTAAGATCTATTGAGTGACATTTTAAAGAAATGATGGCTACATTAGATATATTTTTTTTTCATTATGTACCGTTAACCATTGAATTTCCAAATTCAACTTCCATGTCTGCTTGTGAAAGGGTATTCTCTTCTTCAGGCCTATAATTTGTGGAATGACTTGGTTCTTGCCAACAAAAAAGACTGGAAGTGTCTGTTATCCTTGTGAAATGTGACAAATCTCTGTGTCATTTATTCTGTCCCATTGCTCTCTCCCAACCAGATGACCTACCACCTTTTTTAAAACAATTTGATGCAATTTAGACAACCAGTTGTACTGTAAATGAAGTTCTGTAGATAATAGGAAATTGACACAGTTCCATACATACAACCACACACGCACTATACTGCACTTTGCACTGCCTGCTGCTATTTATAGAAAGATTATACTTGTAGGTGGATTTCAGATATTACCTGCAGAGCCATGCTTCTGTAGGTACTAACTGTTCATTGATGCTTCATTAAGAGCATATGCCATATAATAAATTAAAAGCAGACATGTTAAGAACTTTTGGTATGAAATACTGTTCTATCACCATTATTTTTCTGGTGATTAACTTGCCTTTCTAATAGCTTTGAGAGATGTTTTTCTAATCAGTGCACATGAGCTGTCATCAAAACTAGAATTCCTAATTCTGAGCCAAAACAGTTGGAGACCAACCAAATCAGGACCTTTAGTAAGGTTTATGGGGGGAAAGCCATCAATCATTCATTCCCTCTCCTAGCTCTGCGTACATTATTGAACAATTTCGTCAAAGGTTTTCTACTAAAAAAAAACCTTTAAGAAATTTGAATAGTGTACCTATTTGCATGTAGTATTATCTAATCAAAATCTGATTTGTGAGGGTGAATCAGCTAACATATTCATAATTTTAATCGTGTTAACAGCTCTAAAATTGGCTGATAATTACCTTAGAATTAGAGGTTCTAATTTGTACATTGGTAATGTGTTTCCAATCACCAGCCAGTGTAATAACAATAATAAATTATACTTCTGTCTTCACTGAGATCATGATGGACAGCTGAAATCGGATATTCCCACCAGAACTGGATATCAGACTTTTTCTCCTGAGTATTACAAACTTCTGAAGCTTCTGAAGATGCAGGGCCATTTTCAGCCTGTGCTGGTCAACCCTCTTGGCGTTC